ATTAAATTAACTGGTATTCTCATATTTATTCAACTTCCAAAAGAACATTAGAAATGTTGATTTCCTTCCATCTGGAGTCCTTTATCACTTTTTCTACTGGTCTAAATAGCTTTTGGAAAATATAAGGATATAGATAATACTTTCTATATTAAATGGATAATTATCAACACAACAGAAACAAACAGAGCTTAACAGGAAGGCTATGAGAGTCCACTGCCACTATCTCCTCCAAAGCAATCCAAGTGACTATAGTTTAACTAAAAGTAGTGTGTTTGTTAGGAATAGGCGGCAGCAAGAGTTCTTCTCTAAGTTTACTGTGTTTCTTGAGTCCTTCCTCCCCAAACATAAATTCTGGAGAGTCCACAAATAGAAGCAACTTTCTCTGTTGCTGATTGCCTCAATCATAAACCATACAAACAATAAGTCATTGCTACTTTCAAATAACAAGGAATAACCATTCACTTTTCATATATTTGAATTCAGCTTAGCATAAAGAGTTATGTAAGTGCATATACAAATCCACACGGAATGCAATAAAATTTCATGTGAGGAATTTAAAACTTGAGATTAGAGTAGCTTTTACCAAGTTTCTTTATTTCTACCAACTAGAGTGTGAGTTTAGGCCATGTCACGAAAACATGCTTCTTTCAAAGGAACAAAACATAGGAAGATAGGCAAAGACGAGGTAGGCAGTGGTAAGTATAGCCCTGTAAAACCAACAGTACCTGAAAAGGTAAATGATGCAAATAAAAGAGCAAGACAAATGATCAGCTCATTTGCAGAAATACATCATTATTAGTCCGCTGCTCCTTGTTGACAGAGCTGTCACACAACTTCTCACCTTTGTCAGGGGCCACTTAGGAATTTCAAGTCAATGTGAGGGTCATCCTGCTTCCTAGGGTACAAGAGCTCTCTCAGGGTGAATCTGCTTCAGCCCAAACAGATCTTCCTGAACTCTCTTGGAAGTTTCAGCTCCAGAATGGCCACATGAATCTTCACTGTTGATACTCCGTGAGTTTGAAGCGATGAACCTGTTCCCTGCTGACTATGCAATTGATATGATAAATCGATGGCAGAATATTAACTGAAAACTCCCCAAGAATAATACTCAAAAAGATAAGCCTGATGAAAAGCTTTAGTGATAATATAAATTGTGAATGACAAGAATGCAATATTCAAAGGGATAGACTCATCCGCCTTTTAATTTGCTATCCTTGGCTTGCTCCAAGAATGGTATCTGATGCATGGTGGAGGAATAGGAATTCCAATCCAGGACATTTGAAGTTTGAAAACTGAATGTTAAAATGATGAACAATTTAAGGGCTTAAAGAATAAAGTCATTGGTTCATACAAAAATATGGGCAAACTTGTGTAAACAATATTTGGAAATTTGATTGTCTGAGGTTAGAATACTTTTTTAAAAATCGTGCTTCAGCCAATATGGTTCATAAGAAATAGATTTGTATCTATCTTAAGGAAACGAAGATGTAGAAACAATTATACTATAACTATAATTTCAATGCTGTTTCCATAAATTCTTGCAATATTTCTCTTTAAATGGAGTACTAATTATGTAGTATGTTAGTACTGACAGACATCAATACTGAGTGTTCCCAGGTGGAGAGATTTAATATTAGAATTCTTCTAAGAATATGTCAACTTTGAGTCCCGATTCAGGAAGAAAATGTTAAAAAGAAATAACAGTAAGATATTAACAGCCGTAAGGTGACTAGTGTATCCAGACATCTCTCAAAGGCATTTCATATACCATTTCCTGTTTTGTTTCTATTGATTTTACTAAAGACTAGTCTGAGGCTCACAATAGTCTTTATTTGATCTCTCAGATACAGAAACAAAAGGCTGCTGAGCTTGACTAACCTGGACTGGAACATATATCTAGTAAACAGGGAAGTGGGACCCAAGTTTACACTTCTACCAAGTTATGTAACAGAAAGCCCAGATGTTTACCACTTCACTTTTAATTCTTGGATTCCACCACCATCCCTATGACTGTGTATGTAGACTCAAAACATGTATGTATGAGGCTCAAAACATATTAAACAGGCATTCTGTTGTTATAAACATAACGCATCTGTTTCAGAAGCTTCAGATATACCCAAAGGATTTTCTTTTCTCTACCACCTACTAATCCCAGTCTCTTACTAATAAATTTACAGATCATCTAGGGAAATGGTAAAGTTCTCAGATTGACCAGATGTGCATGATAATTAGCTGATAATTGACATACACTGATGTCTACAGAAAGTCAAGAATGATCCCAGAAGCCCACGGAATTCTCAGCAGCTGGCTCTATCTCTGTTCTGCCCAAGCTGCTGGAATATTTCCCCAGTATAGTATGTGTTTGTAGGGTACTGCTATATTACAGGACCCCATTTAGGGTGGACAGACTATCTTTACTGTTTCATAGAATTGCAACCATAAATCGTATTTAATATAAATGTGCCAAATATTTGTGCATACATAAGTTCTCAAATCGTTTCTCAAATATTTAGTAAAAATGAGTTCTTTCATACATTTTATAGCCTTCCTCAATAGCTGAAGTTTAAATAGACACGCTAGTAAGAGCAATAGGCTGGCAACCAATTCATTCAACATTTGAATGTTTACATATAAAAACACTATTAAATGCCTGGTGTTTAGACTGAGGTTTTTTCAGAGTATTTTATATTACTTAACAGTAATGCAAGTTAATAATCAAGGGCCTCTTTAATTGGTTGGTGGTTTGTTGGAAAGTGAAATGTGAGATGAAAAAGAACACAACTTAATCATTCACACACATGCACACACTCACCCACTACACACACACACATACACACACACACACACACACACACACACACACACACACACATGCAAATGAAGTTCCCAACTCCTTTGATATTTTGTATTCCAAGTTGGACTTGACTGACATGAGAAATTAGCTGTAGAAGGCAGGTTTCCTCTGAATTAAAGCTAGTTTTGACGGTGTGGAATTATCCATTTAAAAGCTATGTGCCAGGGATGGGAATGTGGTAGAAGGCCCTGGGCTCAGTCTCCAGCACTATCAATCAATCAATCAATCAATCAATCAATAAACAAATAAATAAAATTTTTAAAAAAGTACCAGTCTCTCTCTCTCTCTCTCTCTCTCTCTCTCTCTCTCTCTCTCTCTCTCTCTCTCTCTCTCTCCATGCCAAACACAGGTCACACAAAGTCAAAAGAGTTGCATCTTTGTAATGCATATAAACAACACTAAGGCATGCAGTTTTACTTTATCCATTTTAACTCTCATTTAGGAAAAAAATCTCATTATCTTGTGGTATGTGTTTTAAAGTCAGTGAATCAATATTGGCTTTCTTTCCACATTGAAAACTACTTTTAAATGGTTGACTGATTGCTCAGAGACTAGATATGCAGAATTGTGAACAAGTATCTCTAAAAATATCCTTTTCTGCTTAGATTTAAGTTTAAAGGATGCAGCAGAGAATATTCCATGTAAGTTGTGCAAGGAAGTGGGATATCACCACTTCTAAGATCTTTACATTTATCTTTTGAGGTGGAAAATGCACAGATAAAATATCAATTAAGTTAATAAACATTGGAGATTCTAACACATACTCAATACTTATTTTGTGTTGTCCAAAAGTGTATCATAAAGTATTGGAATATGCTTGACTCCATTCAAACAACAGGATATTAAGACTGAAACACATTTCAAGCAGACTCGTTATGAACAGTAGTGAATCTTGTTAAAGAAAGTACTTTGAAACGCTATTCATAGGGTTAAAACGACCTAATAAATGCACATGATCATATCATTATTTATAGTCAAGAAAATATACATCTGTGGTAAAATTGGGGATCTTTTCTTTTCACGAGAACCAGACCCCACTTGCCTAGAAAACTAAAAGGCATTACAAAGCAGTCAACTACAATTTCTTGGTACAGGGATGTGTTCCGTGACGAAACATCACTAGGTTATGAGCATTTGGTAAAGCAAGGTGAGATCAGGACGACAACCCAGAGCTGCCTACTGCTCAGTGGGTCAGGACCTGAGCACCACGCGCCATGCCCTGCCGTTCCTAGAAAGGGAGCGAGCTGGAAGTCCTCGGAGTTCTGGGCTTCGCTAAGTCCGACAAGGGAGGAGACCTGCCCAGTGTCACTGCTTCACCTGTCGCTGGCCCTATCTGTGACTGTGTCTAAGAAGCAGAATGGGCCAGAGAAGACAGAAGGAGGGCACAGTACCACTTAAAATTAAAAACCAAATAGAAGCCTGATTTAGATTGTAAGGAGTGAAGGTGAAGTGGTGTGTTAAGCTCCAAAGTCCAGAAATAGCTAAATGCCACCACACACGGAATTTTGGTAGAAGGTGTCATGCATTTAGGTGCATGAGTATCACCATCAGAGGCGGGCAGGCGGGGGAGAATGGGGAGCCAGGCAGACACCTAAATGGTAACTGACTCTTCTCCCCACTCCTGGAACCTTCAGCCAGAAGTCAGACTCGGACTCTGCTCCACTCCAGACTTTGTAGACTGTACATGGAACCCAACTTAGAGACTAGAACTTGGAGCTCTAGCCTAGCAAGCTCTGGGATATTCCCACATCTCTAGTGGTCCGTGCTCTGCTTTGGAGATTCCCAAATATCTGATGTCCCTGGTCCAGGCCAGGCTGACAGGGTCCAGGGCTGTGCTCCCATGGGGGCAGACCTGCAGTCAGGCAGCTGGGTGACCTCACCCGTGCCCCCCACTCACACAGCGCCCAGAGTAGGGCGCTAGCCCAGAAAAGCCTGGATCCCTGCACTGTCTCCCGCGTTCTTGCAGCCGGGGATTGAAAAACCCGCCAACCCGACTTCCCGGGGAAGCCCGGAGACGCCAGGAGGGAAGCGGTGACGCGACGCCCCCTTTCCGCGCAGCCTTGGGCGAGCGCTGACCTCCGCCACCCTGTCTGGGGAGCGACCGCGTCCCGGAGCCACAGCTGGGCGCTGCTCCCGGCTCACTCACCGATCCGGAGTACTTGCGGGGCCGTCTGGGGGAGGATGCAGAAGAAGAAACAGAGGAACGTCCAGCGGATGCCCCTGGTCCAGAGCCCGGGCTGGGCCAGGAGTGTGCCGCGCTGCATCTTCTTAGCTTCTTAATTCATGCCGAGACACAGCCGTGGCCGCACGTAAGTGAGATGCACCCCGCTCAGGCCGGCTCCTCGCCTCATCCTCCTTGGAGGCTCGGGTCTGCACCCCACGCGGACGGAGGAGCGAGGCGGAGGCGAGTGGCGTGGGAACGCGGAGCTGGCTGGCGCGGCTGAGCTGCTCGGGTCTCCTCGCGCCGGTCCTAGCCCATCACCGCTCCTCCTCCTCCTCCTCCATGGGCCGCACACCGCGGATGATCAGCGCGCCCCGGCGCCCCGAGCCCAGACCCGCCGAGGAAAGTTGCTGCCTCAATGTGCAGGAACCTCTTGCTCATTCGTCCTCTGGTCAAACGCAAAAGTGGGGCGTGGGGGTGGGAGGTGCAGACAGAGAGAGATTGGGGAGTCGGAAGAGGGGGAAAGACAGCGAACCCAGAAGGAAGGAGGACTGGCTGGGCTGGTGCAGGGTCTCTGATCTAACCGGATGAGTCCCAGGTTAGCTGGAATCCGAGCCACGCTCTGCCTCCCCTCAATCGGCTCTTTTCTCCTCCCCTCGCTGGCCCCACCCTTTATTTACTGCCCGCCCCAGCCCCACGGATCCAGACACACTCACACACGCGCACACACGCGCGCTCGCTCTCGCTCTCCTTCAACTTCGCGCTGTTACTGGAAAGTCCACGGAGCGCTGCGTCCTGCAGACAGCTCACGCCTAACCTATGGGTCGCAGCAGAAGCAGCCTGGGCTGTGACCCGGAGTGGCGGCAATGTCCCCGTGCGCCCGCCTGCTAAGGGGTCTGAGAGAAGGCCGCTATGGCACGTCCTGTCACTTACTGGAAAATCGCCTTCTTGGAGGGCAATGTGTCAGGGGATATCAGACTGATAGGGTGAAGAAGAGAAGGGTAATAAACAGCAGAAGCAGGAGGAGGAGGAGGAGGAGGAGGAGGAGGAGGAGGAGGACGAGAGACATAGGAAACCTTCAATACTCTAGAATTATAGTGGCTCCTTTTCTATTCCGACCCGACATAATGTCTCTTAAATTGCTTCCATTTACAAGTGTGGAACTGGGAAAGAGACAGTTTCCAGCGTCGCTGCTTTTCTTAATTTCTTCTGACGGTCACATTTGAGCACTGGAAATAGGCCATTTTAACAATGCAGGTTTGGAGACTATTTCTCTCTGTAGGACAGGGACGCTTCCCTGGGGAAATCAGCCTTTGATCATGTTGGCTTAATTTCCTTTGAGCTTTGTGGGGAATGTTCTATATAAATGTTTGCTAGTTCTGTATTAACATCTTATAAAGCTTTTTTTTTTTTTTCCTAAATAGAGTTTTTGGAGAAGTTATTTACAATGAGTTAATTTATAAGAAAAGCATCCACAATCCTGTGGCCTGCAATTGGAAATATTTAAAACAGAAATCTATCTCAAAATTCAAACATTCGTTCATTCATTCATTCATTTATTCTTTCATTCATTCACTCAGTCATTCCCACATCAAATGCAGACTGAATGCGCTGCCAGATGTCACTTTTCTCTGAAGATTCTATGCTGGGAAAAATGTGCTATCCAACTTCTGAGGGAGGTTATAACCTCACAGATGGAAACCCGTTAGTTCACCTCTGAAGCCCTGTGAATGGTTCTGGACACTTGGGGATGGGAGCTGAGAAAATAGACATATCCATAAGTAGGAAATGGGATTTAGCGATGCCTTTAATGAATGGAACGATGGAGGGAACCGTGAAGAATTAGAGGCATATGCTAGTTATCTTCAGAAATTTGAAGAGCTCTTGTGTTAAAGTAGTCTTTTTCAGCATTAGTTAAATGAAGAGGCATTTCTAAAAATTAAAATGATGGGTAGAAGTCTGAGAAGAAAGTTTCAACTTATGTTGGGCAGCATTTTTAAAACCAGAGAGCATCAAATGATGTGGCCTGCTTCAGAAAATAGCTGAATTATTCACCCATCCATCCATTCATCCATCCATCCATTTAATGCTTTACTTACAGGGAGCCTACTTTGTGTGCTCCATGGTACCAAATCCTAGACACACAGTGGGAATGTGGTTACTGCCACCATCAAATTCATTGATACTTTAAAAATGTGGTTTTTACAGAATGCCACAATAGGAAATAAGAAAGAGAAGGAATCTAATCTCCTCACTGAGATGTCTGTGAAGTCTTCTTGAGGGAGTAATTCTTAAAAACTCAACAAAGCAGGAATTTGTAAATGATTGGTTAAGTGTTTCTAAAATGAGAATATATAAAAAAAACTGTTAAATGATTTTTTGGACAAAAGTTTATCTTAAGTGCATTTAGTCATCCATGTTAACTTAGTACATCCAAGCCCAATAATTAGGAGACATTGCATGGCTAGAGTTTGAGAATTCAAAGTAAACTTGAATTAAATGATCTTTAGAACAAACCATATTTGTGTCTCAGGTTGACCAGATTCTGGGTATCAGCCTTGTTTGGTTCGATTGCTTTCTCTGTAGCAGGAGCGGGTACTTACCCATACTTTATTGTCTCCTTTGCCCGCCATATGCAAGCCTGTGCCATTTGAAAAGGTTTAGAAACCAAGAAATAAGAGTAGGTGTGCTAGGTAAAGAGGAAGGCAGTGAAAGTGTGGTGCAAAGGCCCCCAGGGCTCTTCCTGCCAAGGTAATTCAGGCTGCCACATTTCTAGACCTCCAAATGGAAACTGCCTGGTGGCCTGTCTCATCTTTTGCAGAGTCTTCTCTGAGTCTCTCCGAGTCTCTCTGAGTAGTTATCAGACCACCAATGATCTCTTGACAAATCAGTGAGAACTAAAGTGTTTGTTTTCAATCACTAAAGTTTTAAGATGTTTATTACTGCAGGTTCACCTGCTCTGTACCTACCCATAAACTCTCTAAAATTAAATATTCTCATTTGCAAAATGAAAGGAATAAAAATAGCATAATAGCACTGAAGGATTACACATATATATGTGTATATATATATTCATATATATATATTCATATATATATATATATATATATATAATATCCAAGGCCCTTATTATGCAGCATGTATCAGTATGTGTTTCTGCTAATTACAATTTTGCTTAATGAATCCATGTCTATATTTCTAGTTTAAATATATCCCAGATGGCAGAGACTAAAATATGTTGTCTGTTGGGAAATGAGTCTACAATATTGGTCCAATTAGTAACATGTTAATAGTAATTGGTCTGATATTATTTAGGGAAACGTTGCTACTTTTAAATGTGTAACCTTGAGGGCACAAGGGACAGTTCTTTTTAGTTGATGGAGATAGAAAGATTGTATTTTCTGAAGGTGGTTTCTTGAAGAGTAAATGGCATACTTCAATTACTTCTCAGTATTATCTGTAGACTTCTGTAAAGTTTAAAGCTGAAATGTATTTCCTTGTTAAAATGCCTCTCTTCACTGCTCATGTATTCAGACTCATGGGTTTGAGTCACTCATGGGTGATCCTCAGCTGCTGATAATTTTTTGATGCTTTTTAGAAGTACTATATTTTGTGCATATATGCATCCAGTTATTTTTGCCCAAAATGACTGTGGTAATCACTCTTGATTCACAATTCACATAGTTCTCTCTTAAGAATAAAAAATGTTTGATTGGAAGCATACTCTCTTTTTCTTGTCCTGGAAATATTAAGCTTAAATTCATATGCTGGGGTTTAATAATATGACAATTGTTAACCAAGCAACCTTGTACTTCCTATGAGAACTGGGGTTATTCTTACATACTAATCCATTTAAAATTACTTATTTTCTAGACACTGACTAGATGCAAAGAAAAAGAGCTTAAAGTAGCCTAAGGAACTCAAATGATACAACTGTGTTTTCAAAATGTGAGTATATTTATAATGTTACCCAGACACTGAAAGCAAAAGGTCACTTGCCTTTGGAGCCTATTGAAAGTGTGCCATTGATTCAGGATTAAAATTCTGATTTCTTGGCTATGTGTTTATTTTTATTGCTAGGTGACGTCACATAACAATATTATCTTTAAGCCAAGCATTTTTTTATTTTTTGCTCCAATCTGGCCTCTAAATTCCAGATTTATGCAGCAACTCTAATTGCCATATTTATCTGACACAGAATCTCAATATTATTTCAGTATGAATGCAACTTTCTCTCAGCTATTAAAATGGGGAACTTAGAAGATCACTCTTGATTTCTCCATTGCTTTTCTCTGCCACATCCATTTTATTTTCATACGTTCCTGATTTAACTTGTAAAACATGTTTTTAATGTATTTTTCTGCAACTCTACTACTATCACAGTAGCTTGGGGCTTCTCACCTTCAAAACTTTTGATGTCCTTGGGCTAAAAATTCCTTGTGGTGCAGCCTGTCCTGTTCATGTACGTGCTGTGCAACATCCCTGAACTCTCTCCACTAGATGTCAGTAGTACCTGTTCTCAGGTGTGAGGACCAAAAAGTGTCTGTAGACAATGTCAGATGTCTTTGGAATACAAAATCAGTCCCTTTGAGGACCAGTGCATTAGCCCAAGTGCCACGATCTAAATGTGATCTGTCACCTCTCTTTGTTGTCCCCATCCCTGGTTTGCTTCTTTGTATTCATCTGTCCTTCTGCTCGGAATTTGCATCTCACCCTGGCTTTCCTCACAACTGCAAACTGTAGTTCCCTCATCGTCCTTGAAACTCTTCGTTGCTTATGTTATTTTCTTGTAAACAAATGTTTGTTCTATATGCATGAAATCTCAATGCCTGGCACTGAGTCTGATACCTGAAGAAGGAGTTTATTACTGATCTTAAAGTGAATATATGGAGGAATATTTATGGAGGCCCTCTCATCAGCCACACAACCTACACAATTCATAGCTGCTAATTAGTAAGACCGAGCTAAATAATCATCCAATAGTTAAAATTTCATTCAGAGTATCTACAATGATCAGTTTAGCACTTAGTATTATTCTCAGCATGTGAATGCAATACATCATGTCTTGGAAAACTAGAGTGTAATCCGAAATGTGTTTTGTCAAGTGGACTAGGGATTCCTTTTAAGATTACTTTTTTTCCTGCAGCATAGCTATCACGG